CACAACTTCGAAACGACTTCTTCATCACTTTGAATGCTAGTCTGGGACTCTGATTGGAGGGAATATTTCCAAGTGACCATTCCGAAGGGAAGACAGCATTGTTGTCTTCGCTTGCCACAACACCAACGAGAGCAAAGACAGCATAAGCTATAAAATTCACTAGAAAGAGGATAAAGAAGACAGTAAATGAAAGCAATAGGATCATTTTTAAACGGAACATTCGCATCTCCGATCAGCAGCCGGTGGCAGTCTGGAAGCCCCATGCAGCCCGTTTTAAGTAAACCGTACATGTGAATACAATTAGGTACATAGGCCATAGCAACCCGCAGTGCACCAATTAAAAGCTTTCAAATTCTTTTTGAAGCAGAGATTGCTGCGTCAGGTTTGAAGAAAGATGGTATGACTTTGTCGAGTTGCATGTGTCGCATCGACAACAAGATGAGACTGTACCCACCTCGGCGACTACAGCCTAAATCTGCTAGACTTTTCGAGGAGGCCTAACATTTCTCGAACATCAGATTCTCCATCATGTTGACAAGTATGGCCGGTAGACTTACAAATGCTGTAGGCGCTCTCGCTCACATGCTTCGGATACAGCAAATTCGTGCGAGTCTGCGTCTCTTCTCCAACCCTTTTCCCAACCAGTATGGCAGACATCTTGACGATGTCTCTTTGTTGGATAACCCCAATCCCTTGATCACAGCGGTCGTGGATATTCACACTCCTGTTAGTGGATTCGAGTTTATGTTGAGAAGAGCGTGTGCAGAAGTAATTTCCAAATACCACTCCATCAGTGAAGATTCACCTCTCTTGACGACAGACGTGCAAGAAAGCGATAAGTAGCTGTCTTTTACATGCTGCCACGAGACTGGCGGATATGCTCAAGTAATGCTTTCCACCAAAAGGCCCAGAGTTTATGCCTTTCGTGCAGACCTTTCCGCATACACATCCACATTGCAAGGATAATTTCTTTCAATCCGTTGACAGTTCTCTCCGGTTAGTTTCACATTTCCGGGAGCCTGTTGCTGAGCTCATCATCATCATCTGCCAGACCATGGCTGAAACCGCATGTGCTTCGTTAGACTTGTCTGTGTTCGTATGCATTCCCTGAATAAAAAGCGGATCCCTCAACCTCTCACGACAGAATTGGGTTATCATCTTCCTTTTTTCACGGAACACATTCCCCATCTGGTCTACAATAGGAGCCGGTGATACAGCTCGTTTCTTCTTTTCCTCGCAATCGAAAAGCTTCCTTATATATCAGCTGCACTTGAGCTCATCAAATGAGTTGCACATTTGCTAAAAGATTATAACTTTTGCGCCAGAGCAGAGGATTGATTGCGACCGACAAAGGGCCATCTTGTTGAAAAGAGAAAAGCAGATAAGCAGAAAAGTTAAAGCCTCTGCTACAATCAGACAAGTCTTACAAGACACACACCTTTTGATTGCATTTAACATCCAAACTTCATTTTCCACTTCCCAATTGCGAAATTCTCCGGCCTCCTCATTGACTGTATCACAGTCCAACACATCATGACTATGATGGCTGAACTTTCGCAGAGAAAACGAAGGGAATTCATAATAAGTGAATTGGGAAGGGACAGAAGCAATCTATGCTATTGAAAGAGGCTATTCGTTTGGGGATCTAGAAAACTTTCAGTATCTTTCCCAAAGTGCCAGTTTGTCCACAAAAAGCATCGTTTCGTGAAACAGCACTCAACCCTTAGTTTCCTCATTTTGCATACGATGTGACTAGCTGCAGGCCGACATTTCTTGTCTCAAAGCAATTAAGATGCTGCTTTCTTCCGCTCTTACCACTTCCGATGGCACTCTTAGACTCATATTGAAGTGAAGGTAAATATTTGACTTTTGCATTGAATTTCCCTTCGCCAGACATCCCAAAATGTCGTTCACATCTGCAGACTGTACTTCACATCCGACCTAATCTCGTCGTCCAATTAGCACTTCACTATGAATAATTGGCAGATAAAAATCTATCTCGGACACAACAGAGGGGATTAAGTTTATACTTTGCAGAAGGTTTATTACGATCTTTGCTACCAGTAAATCAGGTGCAACTTTAAAAACTTCTTTAGCCCTTTGACGTTTGGATTTAGGCCTTGTGAATTTGCAGACCTATTAGCTGTCATGTGTATAGTCTCACTTGCAGAGAAACTCTTAGAATTTATTTTAGTTAGCAAGTTTCCTCTTAGTATTTGCTCGTAATTTTAACTTAACTTGGCATTACGGTTTCTTGGGATTCAAGTTATGTATTCATTGGTTTATTAATTCATGAAAAATTGCATATAAAGTTGGAGTGTGCTCGAATTAAGAGTATTTGTTTCATTTTTGGCATTGATTTTTTGCACAAACTTTTAATTTTTAAAATATCTATTCCTTAAACTTCAACTTTACTGGCGTGTTTTGTGTTATAACTTTTCGATAAATCTTTGTACGACACTAGTTTAAAAATTCAAGCTAATTTTTAAATATTGGTTGCAACTTCTATAATTAAATTTATGATAACTTAGCATCTGTTTCCTCAAATTAACGAACCTACCTGCGATCATGTAATGCTGATAAGTATTCGTTTGTATGTGCTTTATTGGGATAGAATGTTTATAAATATGCCATATTGCTAGAACTATAATAAGTCCCATTAAAAAATCTTAATTTCTTTTTTACTTGTGGTTTATTCTGAGCCATCAATCTAAGCTTAACCTAGATCCAAAGATTTTTATTGCATAGTTTTCTACTCTCAATTATTTTGCCAGGATGCTGGGAGGTTGCCGATTTCTATTTATTTCTTTATCTTCATTTCAGCTGTAAACCCTACATATTCAGCGAATTGTTATGTCTCAGACCACTCTTCCTATTCTATGTCCAAATATGTTCGATTTATCAATTCAAATAAACGTTGTATACAGTTTATTGCGGAGCCACATTCCGATATTGTTTTCGTTCATGCAAAATTAAATAGAAAAAGACAAGTGCGCAAATGAAAAGATATTGGCGCTTTTTTGAAAACTTGTTTTTAGAGGAAACTATAAGTTTAAAGAAGCTGATTGACGTGGATTATTCGTCAAAACTTATCAGCCCAATGTTTTGGATCCTTTGAGAAAATTCATAAGTGTCCTTCTCAGTGTTCGAAAGTCTGCCGTTTACTTTCGTCAACTTCAAGCATATAAATTTCGCTACTTAGTGAGTCTCTTCTTGCTCGTTGTTGACTTACAGGTTTGCCTTCCTTCTGTATCTTTGGTAGTACATAAGCCATCAGTGATCTTGCGTCATTTTTAATTAAAGAATTCAACGTCCATTTGTCGATTTCTCCGTTGTTATGCCTTTCTTTTCCTTCAGGAATTCGTTGATCTTAATTGTCAGATCCTTTATTAGTATTTGATAAGTGTTTCTGTTGCCCAACAAAATTTACTTTTTTCCCTGTAATGTTTTTTGTCAATTACCACCATCGCTCCCGTCTAATTCGCCCCAAGGATTATTTAATCATTTCTTATTAACTTTATGCTTATCTTTGTCAATCCGCTCCTGTTTTCCGACTCTTGATGTACTAGGATTCTTGCCATTATTTCAATTCCATCTTTGTCTCCTCTGAATATTTCTCCGAGATGTTCACAACCTCTACAAGAATATCTTCTAAATTATATCATTTGTTATCTTGAGAAAAATTAAATCCCTTCTTCAGAAGATCAAAGGTTTTATAATTTATAGGGACTGGGGATAAGTTCACTACCTTATCCCCGCAATAAGGAGACATCATAATTTGGTCCACTTGGCTAGATTCTGTTCTGTCTTATTAACCAAAATCTAGGCAATTCCTTGTCATCCCTGATTTTGAAAATAATCTGGAGTAAGAGTTTCAATGTTTATGAAATTAAATAGCTTACGCCTCTTGGCCTTGTAAGTTTCTTCTAATTTCTGGATTAAGTCGTGGTA